TGATGAGAGATTAATTTTACCTTTAAATATTTACCAATCTTCCTCATGTTTTCTACATATTCAGGAAGTGGTACATGAGGGCCTAAGCCTGATGAATGAGGCAGCATTGAATCATTGCCACCGAAATAAACTATCACCAAAGATGGCTGAATTGCTGCATCCTATACATGTCAAATATAATTACACAACATCAGCATCAAACCACGGCCATGTTTGGTGCCTAGGATTTCAGTTAACGCACAATGTCCGAGTCTGAATTCACTATAAATGTACAATACCTTGGGAAAAACTTGCTCTAGAACCTGAAGAGCACGCCTCGAGTTCCAGCCGGCATATCCTCGCACCAGTACGTCCGCCTATGCCCGAAATTTTATAAGATCAGTGATGCCATTAACAAGGAACTTAATATAGTTTGACATGAAAGTTTAGCAGTTAAACACATGTAAGGCTTTTAGGTTATGTAACAGAGGGAGGGCAAAGGGGGAAGCACCCTTGAAAATTAGTTGAGTCATTAATTTGACTGTTTGGATATGCAGTGAAAAACTTTATTTGATCATTGGTTTAAATAAATGAAAAAAGTTTATGTGTATTTTTCAAAGAAAGAGACAATTTGACTATCTGGCTCATCAGAAGAAACCCAGGGAATTGAAAAAAACTGTCAGATAATGCCGTGACTTTTGATCATCATGGAATCTTTTCTTTGTTTAATACTTAGTAGCAGTTAAAGCAGAAAACAAAAGTATATGCTGTCTTCATTTATCAGAATTGCCCAAGTGGTGGACCTGGTTGTCCAATATATTGCTTTTTTTTATATATTAAAATTATCAGAAGAACAAGCTACTCAAAAATAATATATATACTAGGACATTCCTCAAATAAAATGATTTAAGTGACACCTTTTAAGGTTGCCTACAACTCTATATATATATCCTTACCTATTAATTAATTGATTAATTATGAGTTTCACTGTAGAAGCATAATGAGCACAGCAACAATGAATTATTTTATTTTCTGTGGCTGCAAATTAAGTATGAAAAAGAAAGCTTTCTGGTTCATCAATGTGTGTGTGAGTGTGAACCAAGTCAAATATATGGACAGAGCTAACAAGATCATGCATGTAAGGATATCAAAAGAGAGCATGCAATGCATGAATAAAGTAGAGAGATGAGCTTCAGAGATTAAGAAATGTGGACCCCACCACTAAGCTAATTGCCCCCGTATGTACCAAGTTAACAACATAATAAGAAAAAAAAAAACAGATTAATTTGTTGCTTTGCTCCTTATTAATTAATTTAAAAAATAACATATATGTTGATCATCATAAACCCCAATCAATTGATATAGAAGCTGAAAACCAGGTTTAGGAAATTAATTAG